ATAAAGAGGATAAAAAGGACAATGAAGCAATAATAAATATTATTTCGCAAAACAAACTGGCCAACTGCAGAGCGGGAGAATTAATTAAAAGTTTCGTAGTCAGAAAAGAACGCACATTAAAAAAAGATTTACTTGAGAAGTTATATTATACAACAATTATTGTTAGCTTGTTTTTGAAAATTCGTTACAATTTTACAGTAAATTCATTTGATACTTTCTTATATTTACGCGAATACTCGACATTTTAAATAAAACTATCTTTTCGGATTATTTCGCGGATTTATTTTTACCCTGTGCGTGGGTAGGCACTGCCTGTAACAAGTATACAACGAATTTGAGATGTCTAAAACCTTTATCTCTTCCGTGACCATGATTGCTGTACCTAAAGCATTCGAAACGTCGGGAACCATAAATCAAAATAAGTCTGCGAAATAATCCGAAAAGATTGTTTATTATAGGATACTAGCATTGCCCGCGGCTCCGCCCGCGTTCAGATGACGAAAAACCAAATTCTTAGGTTTTACTTATTAGCATACTCTTAGATTACAGTTATTGTATTTTTTCTCAGAAATGAAATATTTTTCCTATCAGTGGTTTTTCTGTGATGCAGTAACAGACAGACAAAAATTCTAAACAGTATTTTCCAAAAAATATTTAATATACAGATTTGGCTTAGTTACAATTTTATTCTATGTACAGATTGGTATTAAATACATATTTTACTTTTATGAAGCTGAAATAATGAATTTTATGTATATATGTATATAAATCTTAGAAATAAAGCTTGGTTGCAAAAATAAAAGAAAAAAAAAACTCTCTACTGTAAAGTACAAGGATTGGTCGTTTGAACAAATTAGCAAACAACAGATAAGGTGACGATGTGTGTTAAAGTGTCTGAGATGAAGGCATTATTTCTATCTTCTTAACATTCTTAACTACTGCAACTTCTGTGATGCTTAAGCTTAATTATTTTTAAAAATTGGTTTTTGTGCAGTCATAAGATTTGTAAGTATATCACGTTAGAAATTCCACAATATCTCTTTTTCTTTTCGTTATAGAATTTCAAGTCGTCTATATATCGACGGTATTACTGAGTTTGTCTATACAAATTGTATTATATAGGTTTTTGTGTTAAATTACCATTATAAACAAACAAACAAACAAACAAACAAATCGAAATAAGATATGCTGTTTGCTATTCAGTTAATAGACAAATAGGTATATGAGTGAAATTTAATGCATATTTCCCTTTTAATTTAATTCTAGAATCGAGTTCACGACCTCCTACATAAAGAGCTGAACCAGCCATAAAAACTCCATCGTAAATTAATTAAAGCCAACGAAAAATATCAAACACATATAATATAAAATATATAATCTCACAGATAGCTCAGTTAATTAACACAACAAAGTTAAGACGAGACGATGCTTATTTCTTAATTAATTAATTTCATTTATATTCTTACGTTTCTACGGATACGTGACTGTAGTAACAAGTAATTCTATCGTGAGTATACGAAAATACTTTATTTACATTAAAATCGTTTTATTTGAGTAAAACTCACTATTATGATTGAAACCGTGGATTTTTTCGAAAGACATGTGAAGTCCGCCAACCCGCATTTGGCTAGCGTGGTGGACTATGGCCTGATCTCCCTCGTATGTAAGGGAAGCCCGTGCCCAGCAGTGGGACGTTAAAAAAAAGGCTGAGTACAATACAATTTTAATTCCATATGAGCGGATTATTCTATAATGTATACATGTATTGAGCTATATTTAACGTCCCACTGCTGGGCACAGGCCTCTCTTCCATGTGAGGGGGACCAAGCCATAGTCTAACACGTTGGCTAATGGGAATTGGTCGGGTTTTTTGAAAACTTGCTAGATTCTCTCAGAAATGCAGGGTTTCTCACGATGTTGTCCTTCACCATAAGACAAGTGGTAATCATGTTGGAAATGATTCGCACATGAAAATATCAAAGGTGCGAGACCCGGGATTTAAAACCACTTCACCCATATTCTCAAGCAAGGGCGTTACCACTGAGCTACTTCAATATTGGCTATTACATAATATTATTACCAAACTGCCTCTATTTGATCAATTCCTAACCACATTCCTTTTCCATTTTTAAAAACCCACGCCAAGACTTTTGGTTATTGCAGCTAATGATGTTTTAGACCTATATTACCTTGTAACGAACAAAAACGAGAATTATAGAAGTGGTATCTATTGTTTTCAGATTAGTAAGTTTCTAATTCATATTTTATTATTATTATTTACAATATTTTGATGATTTTTTTTCCTTATTTTTTTATTTTTTTTTATTTGTAAAATGTATTTATTAATTTGTAAACTTACTAATCAAATATTATTAACAAAATATAATATATATGATGAATAAAATCAATACAAATATTGTTATATATTATATGAACATTGTTAAAATTTGCATGTACCTAAAAATATTAGGAAATAGAAGGAAGGAAGGAAATATTAGGAAATAATAAAAGATTTATTTATTTATCTATATTTTTCTAGTTAAAATAAGACAGATAGATAGATTTATGTTTATTAATATATCCGAATCTTAATCTGGTGAAAACAAAACGCCACTAAATATAACGGAATAGAACAAAGAATTACTATGTACTATCAAAACCAGCTGACGAAAAAGAGAGCGACCATTTGTTTATGTAACGAAAAAGTACAAAAAATAAAGAATAATACGATATTAAATCCAAACAGCAAGTTAAATTAAAAAAAAACAACTGTTTATCTTCATCAACTTTTAAAACTGCAAGTTTAAAACTGGCATCATTCCAATCCAGTGGAGTTCAACATTTGAGCAGCCTGTTTCCTTATCTGCTTCTAAGAACAACCTTCTAGCGATCGATTTAGAGTAAAAGGATCACGCCAACTAAATAGTTTTGGCTGAAAATTTTGCTCTTTTTCCATTTACTGCCAATTTTATTTTTTCTTACAGATATATAACATAAATATATCTATACATATAATAAAATTGTAACTAATCCGAATCTGACATTAGATTTTTTTTTTGAAAATCTTATTGAAATAAACATTATTATCGATACAGAGGCCGAATCTATAGCTTTTATAATTTTTGTCTGTCTGTCTGTTACTGCATCACAGAAAACCCACTGAAGGGATTTTGATGAAATTTTGTATGGTGATAGCTGGTTATCTGCATATAGGATACTTTTTACCGCGGGAAAACATCTCATTTTTGAGAAAAAATACAAAAACTGCAATGTAAGAGTATAATAATATGTAAAATATATTTTTATATGTAATATACTAATATGTAAAACCTAAGAATTTGGTTTTCGGTCATCTGAACCCGGGCGGAGCTGCGGGTAATGCTAGTATTACCTATAAAAATTATAATATAATTTTAGAACCTCTACAAAACAACGAAAGTGCCATTAAAATGCCATTCATCTTCTAATCTTTATACCGTGCTGCGGTTTTTCTTTTCCGGAATAAAAAGTTGTGTGTTATTTTTATCTGAATTCCTAAAACCGTTTGGACCTTTTCGGATACCAGCTGATACAGACAAGGACAAAAATCTAAAGAGACAATGTTGCTTTCTGCAATCGATAATAGAAAACAAAAGAATGAGGAAATATTATATTCTGAAAACACAGCGCTAAAAGCGTGTCATTTCCACATATATTTTGCTTGTTAATAGCAATAGCGATAGCGATTGCAGAAATAGAAGTATTGTAGATTTCATCATATCTAAACCCATGAATATGGTGAAAATAACCATGCTTAAAAGACATAAGATATTTTGGTTTAGTCTAAATATTATTTTAATTTTTTAAAATTTTTAGTAACATTTGTGGTTGGATTTCAGTCTGTCAATCGTGTATGGATAAAATCCACATATTGATTAAGTAATGAAATTTTTTATATCAATTTAGGGAATTAATTTGATACGCTCAATACTTTTTATCTTCATACATGATTTTATTTTATAACATAACTAGAGACTCACTATCGCTTCGCTCAGGTTCGTCCCTAGGTACGTTTTGAAGCTTAGTATGGAATAGATTTTTTTTTAATATTTTTTTTGTGAATTTTCCCGATGTTTTAATAGTTATTCTGCTATTCGGGTGAAGATATATCCAACAAAACAAAGATCATACAAATCGGTCCAGCAGTTCTCGAGTTATAAGTGTTGTAACAAACCCGACTTTGTTTTATATATATAGCTGCTGGAATAGTAATAATGCTGGAAAGTATAATTTTTTTTTCGACATTTACTTTAAAATACGATTTATATGGATTGTCACTTTCTATCATGTTAAAAGTAACGGGTTCAGTTCCCAATCTAGGTAAATATTTTTGGTCATGGTCCGGCGTTCCAACAACCAGATCCAACAAACGAGATATCTTAATAAAGATGAATAGTTTTAAAAAAAATATATCACTAAGTTCACCAGAATATTGTATGAAGATCGAAGGAATTTTCACAATTTTTTACTATAATAGTATACTAAATATAGAATTAGTATGTAGGTTTGTCCTACTCTATGGCAGTGACGGATTGATGTGTTTTTTGCACAGAAAATTTGTGAACCGAAGTGCCACTGGGAATTTCTAATAAATTATGTCGGTCCCTATAACATTATTACAAAGGTCACGTAGGAACACTTATTTATAGCAATAAATATTTATAATTATTATTATCCAAATAAGGTGTACCGAGTTTAAAATCATTTCAAAAGTATTGTCTTGAAAGTTATAATACACCTTCCCCAATGAATCTATGGATCTAATCGATATAGCCTATTCATAGAAAAATCATGAAAATCGATTCACATTAAGCAAAATTACTGCGTAATCTAATAAATCTACATAAACAAACATACACCTGAATCGAGTACTTCTTTATTTTGAAGTCGGTTGATAAATCTAAAAGACAGTTGTATAGCCTAGAGTTGTTTCATTAAATAATCTTTATTTTTGTTCACAGAAGCGGGAGGGCTGCGAACCACAGAGCTTAACATTTTACCAAGAGTAGTACAGAAAGGGAGGAACGTAACTATGGCGTGTATATACCAGATACATCAAAGCGAAATATATTCCGTCAAATGGTATAGAGGCACGCAAGAGTTCTATAGATATTCTCCATTAGAATCACCTACCACGAGAGTTATGCCTGTAAATGGTATTAAAGTTGATGTAAGTATAAAAGCTTTTGAATTTTACACCTCGAATTGCTAAACGTAGAACAACATTTTAAGCATATACATTTATTATATAAGCTACAAGTAGACTATGTATATCTTAAGCTATCTTAAGCTTTACGTTCCATAAGCTTCAATATGTTTTAAAAATTATACTTATTGGGCTATTTAGAAATATGGATACCTTAAAGTTATAGTCATAAAATTGTACAAAACGATTTCGTAAGTCCCGACGTAATACACCTAAAAGGTAGACGTCTCTAAAAGTAATATATGTATGTGTGTATGTATGTAGATATTAAATGCCCAACAGTTAGTACTGTACTTACTGTATATTGGAAAAAAAAACCATTATGTTACTAATAATTACTAGTTATCAATCAAAGAAAAATTTATTAGACCTACTATTTAGCCCTTTTTAACGTCCCAATGCTGGGCACAGGTATTCCTTCAATATGATGGCGGATGAGGATCAAGCCATAGTCGACCACGCCGACAATGAGAATCATGTTGTAAATAATTCGCACATGAATACGAGTATGAGAGAGGTGATAGATCCGGGATTTGAGCCCGCTTCACTCGGTTTCTCAAGCGAGCGCGTTGTCCCTAGGCTACCACTGTCTTTACTAGACCTAAAGGAATACAATTTTGATATTGTTTTCATATAAAATAATGACTAAGAAAAGATTATTTACATTCGGAGCTCCAAGGTAATATATAAGGTACCGAGTCCCAAGATAATGGAAAATCGTAAAAAACCTATTTACACAATAACGTAAATGAAAATTAGTGTAGAAAAAATAATCTGAAACATAGATCTCTTGTTGAAGAAGTATATATTATATGATTTAAATAATAGCTAGTTAATGCTTACAAGCGTTGGGTGTTCAGATTTTCAACAGCCTGGGGACTGAAACAAGATATCAATGGTTGAAAAAAATAGTTTTAGAGATATGGTATTCATATGAAATAGGTTAATTCGTCGCGTCTTAGAATCATAATTCATTCTCGTATATTTTTCAGACTTCTATTAGTCAAAGTGCTAAGCATTTCTTAAAAGACATAACACCTCATATTATCGTCTTCACTGGTGACAGGAGGGCTGACGCATTTTTTGCCCAAAGAATCGGCATTGCCATTCAACGGGTGAATGCGGCTAGCATTCTTGCCACTATTCCACGCGGACTTGACTTGTATAGTAATAATTAAGTGTACATTTGTTTTGTATACATTATATTAATATACATTTGCATTTTTCTTAATTGTAAATAAAGTATGAGAGTTCTATTCTTCTAAGATCGAAGAATAATATCTTATCTAATTACGCTTTGATTTCAAATATGATAAACATATTTTATACTTATTTAGCCTTTATCCATATGTCGTCATTTACAGCAGAGAAATTCGCATTTATTGGAACGGTCTTTGTTTCATTCTATAGACTAGCGACTCAACCTCGCTTTGCTCCGATTCGTCCCTTACAATCTTTCAGGCCTTTTTTACCCCCTTAAAGGATGACTTTCGAGATAGAAACTATTCTATTTCCTTCCCAGTGTCTCAAACTATCTTTTTAACAAACTTCATCTAAAACGGCTCAGTAGTTTCGGAGCTTATTCGGTACAAACAAACAAACAAAAAACCTTTCCTCTTTGTAATATTAGTATGATGACAAACATATTTTAAATTTATTTAATCTTTATCCATAAGTCGCCATTTACAGCAGAGAAATTCGCATTTATTGGAAAGGTCTTTATTTTATTCTATAGACGTTGAAGGAATTATTTCGAATAAAAGTGCAAAACATAATCCTATTAGAGACGACGAGAAAGGATTTTCTTTAAACTTTACAATTTACAACAAAGATATATTTTTATTGTGAGAATAGTTTGGTGCAGTGGATAAGGTTCTTATTTGCATTGCTTTCTATGAAGGTAGTAGATTCGATTACTTAAGATACCTGAAGCAATTAAATATTGATAATTATGATATAGATGTTCTAAATATGGTTAGGAATAAAATTTTATTGAAGAGTTAATTAATAATTTCTAAAATAAATAAAATAATCATCTAAAGTGAAGTCATAAAATAATTAAAAATATTATTATTTCTTATTAATTTATTCCGATTAACTTTTAATATCACATTAAAACCATTCGTTGATAATATTTTTTTCGACAGGAGTTTTATATGAACCCAAATGTCACAAATTTTATTCAATTCAATTTTCATGTTAATAGCTTCAAAGATAAAAAGTTTATAAAATTTTGGACAGTTCGACATCTGTCGAGTCAACAAGTATCCAGACTAATATTATAAATGTGAAAGTGTGTTTATTTGTTTGTCTTTCTTTCACGTCGAAACGGCTTTGCGAATTGACGTGAATTTTTGTGTAGAGATAGTTAAAGGGCTGGAGAGTGGCATTGGCTACTTATTACCGCAGGAGATTAACTCTTTCCCACGGGAAACACGTCATAATACAATCCAAAAAAATATTTATGATCAGAATTGCTTGAAACTTGGTATTAATGCTCTTCAATACAATTAATTACATACGTGTTTTAGCATTTTTCGAAATTCATCTCATAAGGGATAAAATAGCGGATGAAAGTTTGTATGAAACCTACCATTTCTGGGTTCTGCTAATATAAAATAGAAGCACATTAAACTTGAAAATTTTGTTACAGAGGTTAAACTCAAACGAGACACACGTAGTTCTCCTTCGGGTGACACCAGCTCTTAGCGGAAACTACAGCTGTGAGGTGATACAAAATGCACATACCTTTCCTCACTACACAGCTACTAGTAGACTCGACGTTGTAGGTAAGTAAACATAATATTACACACTAATTAAGTAAAACTAATATTAACATACAGCACCATCTAGTTCCATGGTAAGCTACGAGGCCTGTGTTATGGATACCAGATAGTACACTACACATATATAACGTTAAATACATACATATTATAAATATAAACACTCATGACTGGAGTACAAGCATTCGTGCTCATCACACAAATGAATGCCCTTAGCGGGACTTGAACCCGCGATCGCTGGCACAGCAAGTAGGGTCACTACAAACTGAGCCGCACGCGTGGTCAATGTATTCCCACAATTTTGATAAAATCACAAAAGACGGGCTTTATCTCGTCGTCCTGTCATCGTTTCAGCCCAAACACGTCCACTGCTGGATATAGGCCTAACCCAAATATTCCCACGACAACCAGTCTTGTCCTATCCGCATCCAGTGGGCTTTAGTGACTTTGACCAAGTCCTCGGACCACAAGTCGTCGTGATTTCATTTTTTAACTTGGAACATTTGTTAAAAGGCTGTCTCAATTACGGTGAACATACTATAAAGTACTAGTGTATCTGCAAACATAAGTTTACCGTTTATCGTAATAATTCTTTGACATTTTCAATGAAATTATCTTTTCTTAAAGATTTTTTGGTTACATTTATACGTTCATGGCGTATATTCGTCGATTACCTATATATCAAATTAAAGCTATTTTTTCTGTACCAAATAAACTACGTCTGTCTATACATATATATATATATATATATATATATATATATATATATATGTATTCAGCCCTTCTTAACGTCCCACTGCTGGGCACGGGCCTCCCTTCTATATGAGGGGGATCAGGCCATAGTCCACCACGCTGGCCAAATGCGGGTTGGCGGACTTCACATGTCTTTCGAAAACTTGCTAGGTTCTCTCAGACATGCAGGTTTCCTCACGATGTTTTCCTTCACCGTAAGGCAAGTGGTAATCATGTTGAAAAATGATATGTTGATGATGTTACCGCATCACGAGAAAACCACTGGACAGATTTTGATGAAATTTGATATAATGATAGCTGGTTATCCGGGTCAACATAAAGGATTTTGTCCCAACGATTATTTCGAAACATCACAAAAAAGGTTCTACTTTAACGTGCTTTAAGCATTTATGCGGATAGAAGGTATCCCAATGAGAGCAGGGTCGTGGCATAATCTAATATTATAATAAAAAAAATATAAAACAATAAATACGCAGATAGTAAAACTTACAATAAAACATGTAAATGCAATTGATACATAACTATATATTTCATATACAATTTTTACATATTCGAAAACGTTTTTGATGTCGGTTGTTTAAAATTTTGCAATACAATTAGCATCACGATCATATTTTAAATTATTGCACATTAACATAACTCGTTGTGGTCATGAAATACGTATTATATGTAATTTTAATAATATTTTTGATTAATACTGGTTTTTGTATATAATACTGATATTTTATATTTATACCTACATAAGATATTTATATATGAATAATGACTGTGTGTGTACAGAATATAGACTCCAAAGCAATAGTCAAATCAAAGACATGACGACACGTTTGGCTCAGTGTGTAGTGACCCTACTTGCTATATCAGTGGCCGCGTGTTCGAGTCCCGCTGGGGGCATTCATTTGTGTGATGAGCATGAATGTTTGTACTCCAGTTATGGGTGTTTATATTTATAATATGTATGTACTTAAAGTTATATATGTATAGTGTATCAACTATCTGGTATCCATAACACAAGCCTCGTAGCTTACTATGGAACTAGATGGTGCAGTGTGTTAATATTCCAACATATTTATTATTATTATTATTTATTATTATAGTTATTAAAAATTTCCTCTATCTGTTTGTCTGCATGGATGTGTTTTTGGCTTTTACGCAAAAAAATGGGACTAAACCAATTTAAACAAAATTTGGCGTAGTGATAACTTATTGTGTATAGTGACACACATGAGCTAGCGAGGGTAAGGCGCTAGTATACAATACATAATTCGTTGGCTCACTATTACAAGGTTCTATGTTATAATTTTAGTACTTATTTAGTTATTAATGCTACAAGGTTCTACGACTCATTAGCTACAGTTTTTCAAAAACAAACCACTAGATAGCGGCACTATAACTACAAAATATTTTACATTTTACATAGATATATGTTGTTTTTTTTACTATAACAAAATGACGAAGTTCTATGTAAAAACTACTAAACTTCATTAAAATTAATATAGAACCTTGTAATATAGTCCAGTGCCTAGCTTGTACTTCGCAGTTCCAAAGGTCCTGGGCTAGACCAAATAGGTACTGAGTTTTTCTGTAAAGAATTATTCAGTAGCAATCTAAAATTGGGAAGATATCGGTGTTCTATTTTTTTTTTCAAATGAAACGTGTAGCCTTCACGGCTTAGAACTCGTTATCACTACGCCAGGGAGACATTTAAATGATTTATTGATGCCATTCACTTATATAACTATTCTAGGTAAATTGTTATTTTATTTAGAATTACAAAAAAGAAAGCCTGTTAGTCTAGACATAAGTCTTTGTCGTTATAATAAAAAGAAAATGTTACTTATTTCCATATAAATATATGAACATAATTCAAACTACACATTAACGTGAAGTAATCACAATACGAATGTTAAAATTATAATGTAAAAACTATGTTTGGTATATTTTATTAGTATAAAATTATAATGAGCTGTACAGTGATTCCAGAACAACTGTTCTTTGTTTAAATTAATGAAAAATTAATAAAAATTAAATTAATTAATTAATTAATTAAATAAAATAAAAATTAATAAAAATTCTAAGAAATCTATTGTTAACGAACACGCCGGCGTGTCCGCGGTCGTGGAGGGATTAAAGTTTTAATATGCTTATTTACTGAATCCCAAATAATCATTATGCCAATTTTTGTTTCAAAAAAAATCTATGAAACTTATCAAATGTTTTCACTACAATCTCTACCAATAAATATAAGGCTTGGTAAGGTGACCAAAATCTTTTTGATTCATTCGTGATTTTCTATTTTGTTCGCGATTTCATAGTTTTTAATTTTTTACGCGAAACCCAAGTTTTTTTGTATAATAAAAGAAACCAAAGTTTTTTTTTTATTCACAGGCATTTAATTTTTTTATTAAAATTATACAACCTAGTAATATTTTGCTTCAGATTATATTTTTTGCAGACTGTACTAGAAGTATTTACTGATATAGTATTTTTAATTGTAGTTTATTTTTTATTTTTTAAGAGCACCAACAACATAACACACAAATAGATTTTAAATTCATTCTTAATTACAAATTCTAGTATGTTAGTCACTTACAGGTGTCTATAGTTTATAGTTTAAATAGAAAAAATCTATACTACTTTTTGACTTAGTACCTACCAGATATCAAGAAATACATCGTAGAGGCATCGATCACCCTTGCCATTTATTTATAAAGAAAAATTGTGACTGAATAAAAAAAATTGGTCAATATTTAAAAATATGAGTTAAATTGAGAGACTTGGAAAATTTACTTCCGCAAACTTGTAAAACAATGTAAAAATTTTTGCAAAGTTGTATCTTATTGAAATAATTTAGCCCTGATAAGAATCAAAATATAAAATTCCTGTAATTATTTGTCAGTCAGTCGATCATTGCCATATGACATCAGTTTAAAAACAAAAAAGTAATAAGTTTTTTTTTATTATTATTAACGTACCTTGTAATCCAAATAGGTATATGACAGCTTTAAACTTTTTAAAGTGGTACAGCACTAATTAGCATTCACAGCCGTAAATTCTAGTTAGTGATGTACAAATATTGTAATTTCGCAGTGTTTTATTTGGCTTATCCTTCTTTCATAGTAACAAAACCTATCAAGATTAGCTTATTTATAATACTATGAATCTATTCGTTGGCATAAGGCGTTATTTTCTTGCAATACGTTACGTAGATATATTATGTATGTTACTGTATATTAGAATTTGTATAAAATAACTATATAAATAGGCAAGAAAAAAACAGTTCAGTTACAGGTATTTCACCTATTTTTGACAATTGATTTTCTTTTTTTTTTTGTTTAATCCCCATTAGTTCAATAATTTTGGAAACAGATTTTTTATATAGATAGTTAAAGACAAAGCAGCTCATTATTACTATTTATAAATTTTCAATTATGATTTGACGACACGTTTGGCTCAGTTTGTAGTGACCCTACTTGCTGTGCCGGCGGTCGCGAGTTTGAGTCCCGCTGGGTGTATTCATTTGTGTGATGAGCACGAATGTTTGTACTCCAGTCATGGGTACTTATGCTTATAATATGTATGTATATTATTATAATTTAAAGTTATATAATATGTGTAGTATATCAACTATCTGGTATCTATGACACAAGCCGTACCTCACCTTGGAACTGATAGTGCTGTGTGTTAATGCCCCAACATAATAATATTTATTACGGTCGAATTTTGACCACTACACGAACTATCATATAAACGACCGCGGACACACCGGCGTTACAGATAGCAATAGATTTCTTAGAAATTTAATTAATTTCTTAGAAATTTTCCTGGAGGTGATATTTATTACACACACATAATAATATTCCAAATTTTATTATATGCATAAAGTTCAAAAGTAAATCTTAAATACAAGTAAAGCCACACTTAAAGCTAGTATACGGTAACATATCTTATTGGAAGTTTCGTGGAAGTTGTATTTATGGCTTTGTTTTGCGTACGAAGCCAATAAGTTTCGGAATAAGTGCTCAGTTTCAGGCAGATAAAAGCTCTAACGGCCGGGACACGTGATTTTGGCCTTTATCGTCTCAGTAATGACATTTTTACGAGAATTTGATTCAGATAAGAGTATCGTTTGAAATGCGACGTCGTATAGTGAAATTTTAAAGATATATAAATATTTGCTGGGACCAATGTTAGGGATGGTAACGATTTTAATGTTATTTATTTTGATATATTTTTTACCTATTAAGCTTATTGGTATATTTTAGCAAATTTAAAATTATTGTTTTCATATTATTTTTTATCTGAAATAGCCTAGATTACATTAAATTTAGTAAAATTAAAAAAAAGATACATGCATCGAGCCCTAAATATTCAATTGCACTCTAACCTTTATATAATTCTCCAATAAAAATAATTTATTTAGCACAGCGATATTATTCGCATTCCATCAGAAATGTAAGCATTTACAACTCAAAGAGAACTTACCTGCTATGAAGGTTAACGAAACCCATTAAAATACATCCTGTATAATATAGGCTATAGATTACAAAGTGCAGAAGGACGAAAATACGATATACCTACCTTGTGATCACCTCTAAAAGCTGGTTTGTAGGTATTCTTTGCATATCATTTAACTTGGCGATAAACGAACATTTATTGCTATTTCTTTCTCTGAAAGGTAATTTTCGATTTAAAATGTGTTAAATGAATTGAATATTGTGAATGTTCCTGTTTGAGTTTAAAAAATGTTACAAGTAAAGCTATTTGCATTGTGTTTATGGGATATTCATGATTAAACACAGCTATGTTAAAAGCATAAATATGTACAATAAACATTAACACACAGCACAAGGCCTGTGTTATGGATACCAGATAGTTAATACACTACATATATATAACTTTAGATACATACATATAATAAATATAAACTAAGGTACAAATATTCGTGCTCGTCACACAAATGAATGCCCCCAGCGGGAATCAAACCCGCTACCGCTGGCTCAGCGAGTAGGGTCATTACAAACTGAGCCAAACGTGTCGTCATGCCGTCAAACATAGGCTAATATGGGTTTACTCAGGTAGATTCGAAAGATGCCGTTCAACATTTATAATTGTTAATTGGCAAAAATGTATTAGGTCACTATAACATATATCTGTATGTCTACATTATAAGATATATACAATAAAATAATAATTGTAGTTTAAAAAAGTAAACGCTTTTGACAAACTTCAGTGGGAATTATCAAAACGCATTAAATGTATTGATAACGAAAGCTGTACTGATAGCCATCGAAGGTTTCCATTATCATTTATCAAAGGTTGCATGGTACCTCTTTACATTATATTATGATGTTCTATATCTTTTACTTTCTCCATTACCATAACTCTCTTTAAACTCGTCTCGTCGAAGGATTCTCAAAATTTTAGACATTTAAATACTCGTATAAGAACAATTTTGTCTTTATAGTGGTTTATTTTACATGATATAAAGTATGAAGTTTAGAAATTTCAAAAGGAGTTTTTTTGAGAACTTGGCTTGTACACTGCCATGCACTCACATATGTACATGCATTGCGCCAGAACAGTGTTAAACTCATCAATTGTTTATAAAAACTTTTATATCGAATATGAGATAATTTAAAGGTATTTTAAAGAGAAACTTTTATACTACTTAAAATATTACTTTCCGTAGACGCTTCGAGCATTAGTGGAAGCTATCAAACTTTCCTATTATGTTTAAATTAGATATTATTATCATCCTATACCTACTATTTTTGTATGTTTGCTACTTCTTTCCCCTGAAATGACTGGACGGATTTGGATAAAATTTGGTAAACAGATAGACCATGAGCTTACTGTTAGTAATAAAATTTTCCAAAAGGTGGCGCTGCCTATATTAATATAATAAGAGGCAACTGTGTTATAAATACAAATTAGCTTATGACTGTTATTTTTGTTTGTTGCAAAAATAATAAACATAATTCTTATATAGATATCTTTATCTGTTAGTGAAATTAAAAGCTTTATTCTTCTAGCTTCTATCCCACAGAAGCTTTCTTGTTGTATGTTTTTTTGTTTCAATCGTGAAATATTTTCTTCAGTGTCATATTGACATAGAATACAGAGCTTTTACTTTGAATATTAACTTTATAATGTTAACTTTGAATCTTCTTTACCAATTGAAATGAAATATACCTGTTTTTAAATCAGGCTAATATTTGTAACACTAAGGGCCGATCTATACTATTGTGCTTATCAAGGTTCGTTCTTGGTCGGATATCAGTCTGGTAAAGAATTTCTATCAAGAAAAAATGATTATATTCATACTTTTTGCCGAATCGTACTCCAACAACGTTTCTTGTGTAAAAATATTAGGTCCTAATAAGTCCCATTAAATGACCAACCAATATATAAAATAATATTTTAAACGAATATTCTAAAAACTGTTGATTTTTATTGTATCCCGTAGCATTCTAAAATGAATTGCAGCAAACGTTTTACAGAAATATTTAATGTACAATTCCACTTTATTATGAAGATCAATAAAAATATTTTATGAATTCTGAACGAATATAATATTCGTATTTTCGATGCTATAAATTTTGTGTTATTATTTTATTTTCAGTACTATTTTATTGTTTTAAACTAAAGTATATCATAATAGAGACTTAGGCTATTTTTATTTCGGCTTAACAACAATTTGTATAATACTGGCGTATAATCGTATTGATGGCTATTAAAAAAAAGGTTTTTTATACTAGGCTCATCAGTAAGAACAAGTGATACCCACCAACATAACTTTTAAATAACTAACTTAAACTAAAACTAACATTAATTACCTTTTTAAGATGATATTTCTTCATCATTCTCCTACCAATTTACTGATTGGAATAAATAATTTGTTTTTGCAAATGAAACGTACAAAGGACTTATCAGTCCACTCTTAGCTTTCACTTTACCGTATTAGAGTTGCCTGAAATCCACGAAATAATCCGACGGATTAGTCCACGAACGATCGCCCTACGAGTAATCTGTACATGTTGCAGTATCACACGCACGAATTTTGGTTCTCTGATGCAATCACTCGTTCGGTCCACCGAATTATTGCCAAATTTGTCCATGGTAGCATAGTTCATACAAATTATAAGCCTCAACATAAATAGCTTGTGACTTTCCGTATAGTGTCAGTCTATCACTTGCCACAGTGTGCCATAATATTAATAGTTGAGCACTACTATGTCTTGTGAATTCTACGCGATATTGGTGAAGGAAAATGTGTCCAGCTGACATATTTAATAGCAAGACCACAAAATTGAATGGAGTCAATATGCAAGTATGACGTTACATAAGACTTCACGGGTTCAAAGGAAGTCCATTAGGTCCCCAAAGCGGCGTAATGCCTCAAATAAATTTGGTGTTGTCCGTTAAGGTTATCAATAGGGTTGCACAATTTTCACTATTGCTACAACTCGTGTGTGAGTTTCCCAGTTATTATGTAAATTAACCAGTTTCACTTTTTCCGGCATCTAGCTCTTGATGAATGAAATCAAGTCAGAGGGTGAGGTGTTATTTCCCTCTGGAAGCTTTCGGTCCGTAGTGTCGTTAAATGCAAGACTAATCTACAAAAGACAAAGGCTTGAAACTCAACTTTATAGTATAGCTAGAGCTCTCTCGCAGCTTCACCCGTATGCTTTATTTACTTATAATTATCATATCGACATTTTAGATACCCTTTAAAAATAACTTCAAAAATAATTTTAAAAATTGACCTGGCAGCCCGGACATTTAAACACAAAAAAAAAATCTACAGCTTTACAACTATTGTAATAAGCGTTAATATTATTTAAATTATTTTATTCATCTTATATAGTATTAAATACAATGAAAACAATGGAACAAAAGGAATACAAAATGTTACTCTTAATTTAGTGGAAAAATGTAATTAAGAACTCACAGAAGAGCAACGCCGTAAACAAAACCTTATCATTTGATCTACGCTTCTGTTAAATCTTAGCTTGGTGCACCGATTTTATAAGTTCTTTAGATTTAAGATAACTATTTTTAAATAACATTAAAAATACTTTTAAAAACACTTAAAAAAGTAAAATAAAAATTAAAACAACATGGATAAAAAATATGGAGTTTATTTGATCACTATCATAAAATCAGCTTTTGGTTAGCATATTATTGCATAATTGCAGACATTATATAAATATATTAGAATACAGCCCAATAAAATACTAGACTTTTTAGACAGAAATACTTAATAACTGAACTTGGCCCGACCCGATCTCGAACCCAGGACCTTTGGATCTGTACATGCTATACGTACATGCTAGCCACGAGACCACCGAGACAGTTATAAAATAGAATAGAGGTAGAAATACATAATATACTATAATTGCAACTTTTAAGTTTATAGTACTAAAAGTCTTCTTCTTTTCAGGTATAGGTGGTCTACGAGCAATTGAGCTTAGGATATCACCGCCAGTAGTCCAGAGAGGTTCAGATGTAACGTTAGCATGTCTCTATGAACTAACCGATGCGCCGCTATACTCTGTAAAGTGGTACAGAGGGCGCCACGAGTTCTACAGATATTCACCTACAGAAACACCGGCTACTAAGATATTTCCTTTTGCTGGAATCAATGTTGACGTAAGTTTTTTTGGTTTTAGGTGGAATTACACAATAATATTTTCACAGTATTGACGAATTAATAGAAAATGATAATATAGTGAAATTACATCACCCTTTAAACAAAGATATCGCGTAACAAAGAAAATGGAACCTCTGTTTTTTTGTTTTCATACATAGATACTAAATATTTGGTGCAAATAGCTTAGTATTATTTTTTGAATATGACAAATATTAAATTTAATACAAATAACTACATAAACAATTAAAACAACAATTATTTATCCTAACTAAAAATAGAACCCACGACCATAAACCTCAATAGACTAAAGACGTCACAAAACTTTATATGAAATTGATGAACTAAACACAGTGGTAAAAGGAATAGAAACTTAAAAGAAGATAGTAATCCAAAGGTTTGTGGAGCATAAATGCCACCTCAAGGGACTTAGCATTTAGGTTACGTACAATTTGTCTTACACGTTTGTGAAAGATGTCAAGTTCGTATCACTGAATACTCCAAAAGGGTTGCGAGGGTTCTTACGTGCGTCAAGTTCTTAAATGGGTTCATAAATTTATCTTTCTTATAGGGAGTAACTTTAGGAATCTTAAAAGATTTACAGTTAACCCCAATTTTTGTGATTTTCGCTTATGTGTTCGAGCAGTACGTCGATAAAATAGTCTGTTGCTCAGTTAAGTGAGATGCGTGGGTGAGATCATTTTATACGTACAAAGGAACTCTGTAATTGTATATAAGCAGTTGTATAAAAATAATAGATTTTTTTATCTGTTGTCTTATATTTCGCTTTGATCTCAGGAAACTGATGTTTTACTTGGTCTAAACGCAACCTTTTTGGTTGATATAGTATATTGTTATATTCTTATATAAGCTCCCATAATAAAATCTTCATTAAATTAATGAGAATAGATAATATGCAATAACGATTATTTTAATGAGAAATTCAGAATCTCACAATATAATATAGAATAACGTTGGGAGCTAGGCTTCTGGAATCGGAAATTAAAGCACGTCATTTGCAATATATACATTTAATTGCTTTAGAACAAGAGTCACTTTATACAGTTCACCCACACTCGTGGTACACGAACTGTTCCAGCTTAGTCCAGTTTTTGAGTACTGTTTTTTTCTACCACTTACTTCACTTATATCATTTCACTTTACTCCACTTTTTCATTTTTCGAATTTTTTCTCGACCTTTGCTTAACTGAGCTTCAACTGATCACTCGACACACTCCCGCCCTTTTTATATACATTAACAGAGTATATTCGAGTATCCAAAATTTCTAATTTTTTCTAGTAATTTCGATTCTTTTCTGGAAAATTTTTTGTCCTTCTCTTCCTCACGGAAATTTATAATTAACTATTCTTGTCATTGATTGTCATTGACAACTGTCTTGGCATCTAAATTTGTAAGCATATTTCAGGCAATCTATTTTAGTGTAAAAACGTTTTATACTTTCAACCATGTAAGAATATCAATTTATTAAAAATTATTATCTAAAAGTCAATATATTTTTTTCTATTCACGTATAAGAATCTCATCATATAAGAAAATTTCATCACGAGTTATGCAATTTTGCGGAAAAACCTTCCAAATGGAATATAATACAACACAAGGACAGATCGCTAGAGTAAGATGTTAGGTGAAATTCAGATTGGCTTATTTTCCTCGCAGTATTCTGAAATACCAGAAGTTGTTTATACTAAAACCAACTTGGTCTTGTCCAAACCAGATGCAGGTAACCATTTGTCATTCGCGTTATTGTAAACAACATTTACCTACATTTCTCTTTGAAATAATTAAATTCTTAGTTCTACCTCTTAAAGTTTTAAGTTACAAGATAATAGCGAATTCATTTAAGTGATATTCTTAAAGAAAATTATATTTTTTTACTTAATTATTTGCGAAGTAAAAATGGGATTAGAATAAGTGAAATGGTCTGGAGTTTGCGCTATGTCATTTCAAATACAAAATTGAGAAAATTCTTATTGTATTTATTATTAATATTTTTTTTTTGTTATTTGTATAGTTTTATAGTTTATTTTTTATAAAGTCTAGTTTGAAAACTATAATAGTATTTAGTGCAAGAGAAACATTTAATTAATGTTTATTAATTTATTGTTTGCGTTAAGTATTTAGTGTACAATAAATAAACTAAATATATAATATTATTATCATTAGTATACACAAACCAAAAATAAAAAATATATTACAAAATAAAAATATGGAAACAAATAATAAAGTTATTTATTATGTTTGTGTATGTTCAATAAAACATTATAATTTTATGTATGTTAAATAAAAGATTACATTTTATTACTTACCATCCACATGCTAAATTTCAGTCAAATACGTCCAGTCACTTCAGTGTAAAGGAGTAACAAACACATACCTACATACAGACATGACATAATTTTCGCATTTATACTATAATTATGTATGACCAATTAGTTAAATACTTCAAACACGCCGTTTCTTATATCTTAAAACGTTTACAAAGATACACAAAGCGTCTTCACTCCAACGCGCCTGAACAATATTCAGTAATAGACCGTAATTGTTTTGTTAAGCTCCTTTGTTGCACTGACATTTTAGATGAAACAATTAATTGAATTTCCATTCCAGATATGATATACTTAATTTTATTCAACCCTCTATCAGAATTCAGACTTGTTCCAATATTGTTTTCATGTAAATCCTTTGATATGTCATTTCACAGAAAATTAATGGTGCTCTTATAGATTCGATATAAAATTTTTATTATAAATATTTTATTGCACGCGCAAAAGAAGAGTACAGAGTACATGTAAATCATTTTAAAATAATAAAAATAGGTATGCAAATGCGATTTTATTGCTACGAGTGAACTCTGATAACCTTTGGTGAAAAGATTTGTGGGAGTGTAAAAGTAACAGTACAAATTCAATTATGACGGTATATATGCAAACTTTAAAATCTACTTAAAGATTCGTGTAATAAAGTATGTATATAATGATACCAATCTGACCCGTTTTGGCCATTGTGGCCAATCCTAATAAGACTAGCCATATCCGCAGGAGATATTATAGTGCGCGTGCGTAAGCACAACGTTTATTCTCTTTTCCTTTGTTATATTCTGGTAATATGATACTTCGACACGACCGATGAGAGATCAGGCTCAGGACCGACGGCTTTACGTGCTCTTCAAGACACGGGGGAGGAACACCCTCCAACTCCAGGCTGTTCCTGAGATTTTTTTGACAGAAAAACTCAATAGCTAAGCATCGGTGGATCTGGGAACTTGGACCTAGGACCTATGGATCTGTAGCCGTTTAAGCTAACCACTAGACCACCGAAACTGACTCTGTAACTTAAGGGACAAATAATAATAATTAGTTAAACGGCGTTTAAAAACAAAAAGTGATTTCGTGTGGCGCATATCTTTTAATCATCAATACACGTTAGAACACAATTTAACCACAGTAAGTCTTCAGATTAATTTTCTAAATTTTATGCAGTGTACTAAATTTTATTCTCATTTACTTTTAAAAGTTGTTCAATTATACACTTGTATCAATATTTGTCTATCACTATATCTACGTGACGTTTTAAAACAAAATGGTTTTCAATTGGTAACACCAAAAGCCAATAATTTTTTAAAACATTGAGTTTGAAATGATTTTAATAAGTTTAATTTGCGGCTACAACTTTCATGCTGATTAAATTTGTATAACATGTGCTTTCAGTAAAAGTACATAAATTGTAGTGGCTGATATATATCATTATTACAATTAATTTTTTTCAGTAATAATTATATGAAAAACCATATATTCTTCATAGTATAATTATTTCAAATTGTGAATACTGAGCAGATTGTTCAACTTTAAAGAATGGTTAAAACTACTGATTATAATATACAAAAATAAACTTATCTTACTCCTGTAATGTTATTAACAGAATATTGTTGTTTGAACGTCGTTGCTCTATTTAGTTGTTTTATTTAGTTTCGTATTATCCTTGATTAAACTATAAGATGAAGTTAATTTATATATTTCCACACAAATATTGCGGGATGCCCAAGATCGCGATGGTTGGTTTCGTTCAGCAGTAGTCGGCGATAACCCGAAAAAAAAATGAAAATATTTCTAAATACGTACATCAACTGAACAGTACCGTAATACACAAAAAATTGTTATAAAAGTTTATCGGTAATTTAAAATATAACATCTAATAACAATAATCTGGCCCCATAAATAAATAAAATAAATAAATATTTTGGCACATTAACACAGTGCATTTAGTTACATAGTAAGCTACGAGGCTTGTGTTATGGATACCAGATAGTTGATACTACACATATATAACTTTAAATACATACATATTGTAAAAATAAACACCCATGACTGGGGTAAAAACATTCGTGCTCACCACGCAAATGAATTCTCCCAGCGGGACTCGAACCCGAGATCGCTGGCACAGCAAGTTGGGTCACTACAAACTGAGCCAAACGTGTCGTCATATTATTGAACAAAGTCATCATCATTTGTGTAAGACTAATATAATTAAATGATACCCACGTAGTATCAAATACAATATGATTATTATATTGTCTAACTGAAAGCAAATATTATATTTTTCAAAAGAGCTACTGAGTATCTCGCTGGCTCTTCTTAGCAGAACTGTCTTCCGAGCCGGTGTTAGCTACCTTACGCTTACTTACATACTGACAATATAAATTTATAAATGCAAAATTTACGATTTAAAAGTGTTTGTAAAAGATTATTTCAACTATGTATATTTTGATTTGATTTAATATTGATACTTTTCACACTAATTCTTATTCTTAAATAATGAGATGCAAATAATTTCTTTGTATATATTATAATTTATAGGACCCTCTCAATTATGGAAAGCTTCAGTATCGTAACTATTTTTCAAGCTTTTATTTAAAGTGCAATGTTCGTATGTAAACATGTTGTCGGTTTCATTTGCAACCAGTTTTACGCCGCTTCCTGCTAT